TTTTTTTTTTTTTTTTTTTTTTTTTTTTTTTTTTTTTTTTTTTTTTTTTTTGTATTTTTCTACTCTGCGACAAACTGAAAAGATTCTAGCACACGCTAATTTAACAACCCTGCTACATCGTCTTTTTTTTTTTTTTTTCCCCCTTCTGCTTCCAGGATAATTAAAAGAGAAACCTGTAAAGGCAACATTCCTTCAAGCAAGTTGGTGCTGCAACGTGCTGGTAAGACGAATTTAATTTTTTTTTTCCCTTCCCCATCTTTTCTTTTCCTTTTTTGGAGCTGAAAGCTTTTGTATATCTAACACAGTCATAAGTGTGGTTCCCCTGCTGTGGAGGGTTAGGATGTAATGAAAAGGTGTAACTGCTTGATATGTGACCTTCTCCTATTACTTAAAATGGATAATAACAGCTTTCGTGTCTGTCCTCATGATGCTTTTCTCTCTGTGAATTGACTATTTGCTCAACAGAAGCGGTGCTGTGATTGTCGCACTATGACAATGAGGACTTGATTGTTTTTTGGTTACTGTTCTATGCTCCTATCAGAAAAGATACTTGAGTTGGGGGTTTTATGTGTGTGATTTTATTTTTTTTTTCCAAATGTTGCCTGAAGCACTGATATGATGGGGGTGGAGATGGGGTTGGAGGAGACGGTCTTGGGTATCATTCTGCCTGTTCAGCTGTTTACTAGGTAGGGAAGTGCAACACCGAAACTTTTTAAAAAAATAAATAAATATTTTTCTACTTACATCGAGTGTGAGGTTAGTGTATCCAGGAATATTGTTGTCCAGTGCTGGATAAAGTTCTTGCTGTCCCTTGCATTGTTCTTCTGGAGAAGGGGGGAAGGGATGTTCCACTTCATATCTTGTCATATCATCGTAGTAGCTAATTGCAAGAAGCTGACGAACTTTGAGATGAAATACCAAGCATTGCTGTTGTAAAGAATAGGTTTGATGCTGTGGATAGTTTTCTATGAATACAAGCCTGCCAGATACAATCAGATCTGTATTATACATGTGGCAGTTCCTGCCTTGCAAGTCCCCTGATTTCCAAGGTCTGCTTCTAGACTTTTTCTGACACTAATACATTAGGTTGGATTTGTTTTTAATAGAAAATGAGATGTGTTTTGCTTTTGTTTTGTGTTTAGGCTTATAAAACTTGTAAGGTGCTTTTTTACTTTCAGGCTTTCTGGATGTAATTCTGGCAAGTATTAAATGCTATAACTCCTACTGAAATTAGCAGGAAGGCTGAGCTTGTCCTGTATTTAAGAGGAAATTACTGAGTACTAGCTGAACTGGATCTCATGATTGCTGAACTATCTTTTTCTAACTGCAATTAGCTAGTGTTACACTTAAGACTGATCATGTAGACTTTTACTGAAGTATTTAAAAGAAACACTTCTTACAGTTAGTTTTTCTCAGGTTTCTGGTCATGCTGAGGAAAACTTTTTGAGCATAGGATGGGATTTTTCAGAGAAATCTAATGGAGTTAGAAAGCCAGTGTGATTCAGTCCTCTAATTCCTTGAAAGCTGTTTTCCTTAATATTAAAAAAAAAAAAAAAAAAGGCAAAGTTGTCTTGAAATTAATCATCTGCAGATTGATAGGTCAGACTTTCCACACTCGTAGGTCTGTTTTGCTAAATGCATAATGTGATCACAGGAGCGAAGTTGTGAGGTGAGGAGCAGTCAGGGATTAAACACAGACTCCCTTTCCTGTCCCTGGGGAGAAGGAGAAGACGTGTCAATGCCATATGGAAAATCACATTCTTTCACAGCAGCTTTGCTAGGGCACAGGGTTAAGGGCGCTGCACTTGCAGAAGTTCATCACTCCCTATTTCAGCCTCAATTTCAAGCACTGCAATACTTTCCTGAAGGTTTACTTTGCTTGTGCAGAAAATACTGGTGTCTTGTGAAATGAGGTCGTTGTAGCTCCCACATCTTGCTTTTGCCCTGACAACTTGCCTCCCCCCACCTCAACACCAAGGTCTACAAGGCCTAGAAAATTAGGCTTTGTCCCTTGTAATCCTAAACTCCCATCCATTTATAACGAGAAAATAAAAGGATTGAATTCAGTGTTCTTGTTATGGAAATAAGTTTTTATTCACTCAGTATCAACTGACAGTTAGAAGCGTATCTGATGTAATATGAATAAACTGTAGGCTGTTGACAGTAAATTATGCAGCTATAGTCTCACATTCTCCTAGAAACAGTGCTTTTACAATGCTCAAGTGGCCTAATGGGGTGAAACAACTACCAATATTCTCATTTGAGCTTCCTAATCACCCAAAGCCATGAGAAGTCCATGGGAGTTGATTCCCACTGCCCATGGTGAGCATCTCAGCAATGGGCAAGGCTGCATGGAGCACAGCCTGCATGCAGCCAGTGGTATTTAGTCATAGAGGTGATGTCAATGCTACTGGCGTGAAGAGATGTAAAAACAGTGATGAGTTTGGTGAAAAAAAAAATTGTTCTTGAAGTCATAAAGTATTGAAAGCCAGATATCTGTACCTCTAAACTCCACCCCAACCCTAACCCAATCGACCAGTCTATTTTCTCTTTGAATTTCATCTTTAAATACATATTTTTAATTAATCTGTGCACTTTAGATTGCTGTTGGCTTCTAGCAGTAGTCTTCCACCCAGTGATTGGAAATTTCTAGTTGAATGGAATTGCTTTCATTGCAACAAAAAAAACCCAAGCCAGAAAACTTGCTGTAATTTCCTGTCAGTAACACAGAAATAAGAAAACACTAGGCTAATAAATATGATAATCTGAGTTTACAACTGTTAACAAGATTCCTGAATAGAAATGGTACTATTATGCACAAAGAACTTCTATCATCAGTAGAGGAATGTAGTATAAAATTATGAGTTTTATTATTAGGGTCCTGTCATCCAATCAGAAATCAACCCGTAATCTTACTTGTGAAATGCCATAAGTTTTGGCATCTTCCCTCCCCTCCTATTAATAAAATATTAAAGAAATTTTATAATTAGAAACTTTGGTAACATAGCTGTGAATTTTCTTTACAGGAAAAAGCTGGCATAATTCTGTATTTCTTCCACATCTCCAATTCTCCATATAAACTCACTGCAAGACTGAGTTGCACACAGCAGGTAGAATTGGGGTAAAACACAGACTTGCCATGGGCAATAATGATGGGATTTCATCAGCTTCTTTCTCCTGAGACAGGCCAGATTCCCAGACTTCTCAGGACTCTGAAGAATTATTTAATATGCCATAGCACCTCTTTCCCTGAATGGGTTTATTTATTAGCGTTAAATTTCTGGTCAGCTGAACTGAAGTATCAGAGAGTCATGACAAAATATTGGCATGTTAACTTCTGAGGATTTTTTTTTTTTCATTCTAATAATAAAAGACTTTTACATTTCTAACTGAAAATGATTTATGGCATCATAAGGGGCTTGCTGTGTTTCCATTTGATTTAACAAATTAGCTATGGTCTTCTTTCAGCGAGAACCACTCTTGAAGCTCTACATTACCAAATGAAGCAAGACAGTTGTACCTGGTTCAGAGTGACCTCAAGTCTCTGGTCTTCCCACACTAGCTGACTGATAACATTTTGAGCCAACACTTGCCAAGACACTCCTTCCACAAGCCTGGCAGCTAGTCACATGTCCTTCATCTCCTGGTAATGTGTGCATGGTTCACTGTAGGCTCCTTGGGACTCCTAACCCTGTGTAGGGTATAGGAAACCCTAAAATCATCTAATATCATCTAATTGCTTTCACCACTCCCAATGCAATAGAGCACACAGTATTTATCAGGTCACTAGCTATGAATTAAGAATATAAATGCATATTTTATTCTATTAAGTATAGTAAAATATTAGCAAGAATAAAACAAAGTGAAAAGACAAGTAGAGCCCCAGAGAAGTCAGTTCTGGACAATAATTATCAAAAAAAATCTTCCTTGGTTTCTTTGTGTGTCCTGTGGCCTGTGAAGGCTGATAACTCGGCTCCTGTCCTAAGGCTGATGCTCCGAGAGCACTTGCAGCCACATCTTTCCTACTCCAAGGGGAGTATTAAACAAGAGTTAAATATATTTATTGTCATCTTTTGGGGGGATGATAACAAAAGGGAAGCAAAACAAAAGCTCTGCATATATATTTTTAAAATTTGTTTTCTCAGACTGGAGTCACTAACTGCCTGTATATTACCCATGTAAGTGTTTGCTCTCTGTTCATGGCATTTGGGCACCAAAGGTAGGATTCACCTCATCTAAATTTAGATACTTAAACTGTAGACACCTACATCTGAGCTAACCACCTTGGGGTCCCATTATAGTCAGAGAAAACAAGCAGGCTCTTTCAGGGAGTGATTTATCTGACCTATATTAAATGTCTGGTTTTTTGAATCCCGCTGAAGGACATCACATTCAAGACAGATCATTTAACTGCCTCTCCTCCTCAAATTTTCTTAATGAACGGTACTGTTGCTTTGCTTGATTTAGACACCTTTACCTGCTTGGCTTCTCTTGTAACTACTTCATGAAGACAGAGGGCTTAAAACTCTATAAATTACATTCCTTCAAAAACAGTCATATTATTGACTTACTGAACCTTATATACCTGGCAGTGGGCTTAAAACAAGTTCATCATAGTGAAGCCAGGACTGGATTGCATAGATGGGATAATGTCACTCACATATATCATTAGTCCTCAAGGGCTGCTGGGGGGATGCTGTCACAAGTGCATTCCAGGCAGTGTGTTTAACGTACAATTAATCTTGTTCCTCATGGTTACTTTTATTACTCTGAACTGATCTAGTGAAAGGAGGTGTTGTGATTGGATTATTCACTCTACTTTGCAGACCCGTGGCATTCAAAAGTTACACCGCAATGCTTTAAAAAATATGAAAGTCCGGAAACTCTATGAGTATGATGACGTCTATGTAATTTAGACACCAGCATTTTAATAAACTGATTCTCCTGTTTTATGTTCCTTTACCCAGAGGAAGCTGTGTGCATTTGAAAGTTTCCAGACAGACCATTTGGCTTCCTAAATTTGTACAGCTAAGGCTATGTTTACAGTGCTAAAAGCACCTGCTGCAGAAAGATCTCTGGCTCCCAGGTGTGACAGTGTACCTCACCTCCATGTCACAGAATCAATCATATAGGTTGGAAAGGACCTTGCAGATCATCTAGTCCAACCGTTCACCTAGCACTGACAGTTCCCAACTACACCAGATCCTTAAGTGCTAAGTC